ACTAGATGGCTATGGTCTTCTTTATAGGCTCCATTGCAAGATTTCCAGGTAAAGGTAAGATTTCAATTAGAAAAACAGTGACTTGTACACATAATGATTCATCATCTTCTAATGATATCCCATCCATCCATTTATATCTTCTTCCAAGTCAGAGTCGGGGGGACGAGGTAGGGTACACCCTGGGCAAGAATGCCAGTCATACTACATTACTGTACCACCCTTAATGATGTCCTATTTGTTAAATTAGAATTGATGTATACATGTCTAATTTTGTGTTTAAAAAATCTACAACTCTTCTTCAGGATATCCAATGTCTTGTATTGAAAATAAAACATACAGCATTGCCAATTTCTGGAGTGGAATATAATAAATTAGATCATATTCTAATAGAAGAAGGTTTGACCTTGAGCTTCAGTTCGAGTGCTATTCATTATGTTTTAGAATTTTAGACAGATTCTAAATAACTTTAAAATCCACTCTTACTAATGACAGTAGTAGAGAAAGTTCCCCAAGGTAGTGAGCTACTGTACCATGTCTTTGCTATCTAGTCTGGTTTATGGGTTTATGTCTGCTCAAGGCACTTGTATAAAGTTATTTGAGAGCCTTTATTCAATCAGCTTAACTGACAACCAGGAAATGAGCTCAGTTAGGGAGACATAAACTAAGTGCCCACATGTGGGAATTGTAGTAATAAATCTGTAAGATTCCAATCTACCTGCCATGGGACTTCTGGATACAGATGGCATTTCTTTACCATGTCTGAGCACCAACACCACACAGCTAATACATCTTTGTCCAACTCAAAGTCTTTGACACAGATTACGCTGTCAGATCTCTTAGCAGTAAGGGTGTGAGTGATTTTTAATTAGAAAGTCTTTCTGTAATTTCGGAGGATCAAAAACAAAAGCATTAACTGTGGAAAACAATTCTAGCTGACAGCCAGAGGAGAGGACACCCAGTTGTGGAAGAAAAGCAGAAGTCACTTCAGAGCAGTCAGTTGTTTAAAAGTCCAATAAAAAACTCAATGAAAAAATGCTAACATACTGTACATATAATGTTGGTTTCATGCAATACTGTGTTTCAAGTGGCTATCTTGAAGGATATATCCATACATTTACTTCAACCACATCATCCAATTTAGGGTTGTGCTGGAGTGAGCGGTGAGCACAAGGTGGGGAATACCCTGATAGGACAACAGTCCTTCACAGGACAGACATACAGGCACAAACACACACACAAGGGACATATTGTCTCACAAGCCACTTAGCCTATCAGTATGTTTTTGGTCTGTGGGAGGAAACTGAAGAACCCAAAGGAAACCCACGCAACATGAAAAAACTCCATGCAGGTAGCACCCCAGGTCTGGAATTGAACCCAGTGTTTCAGCACCATGAGGGAAGCAATGTTAACCAGTACAACAGTGTGTTGTCCTTAAAGAATGCATACATATGAAAATGCTTCTATCAAAATCACAACTCTTAAACCTATCTCGATTGTGATTGCATTTGGCCTATTTTGTTCATAAACCTGTCAGACGGTAAGCAATGTAAGAGAATATTGCACATGCATGACTTTTAACTGAAGTTACCAGGAAATGGTGATTTCAAAATATCCTATTTTTTGGGCTCCATGCTATGTGAATTTCAAAGCACTTTGATTTAATGTGTCTACTGTATATGCTTTTTTCAAGCATAGTGTTGAACATAGAAAGCATTATTTCCACATTTTGGCAACCTCCATTAAGTAATTCAGCTTTACTGTTGCAGCTCACCTGTCACCATCAGATCTATCTCAGAAGTGTTCACTGCTCCCCCCATGCTTATAGCTGAATGAGCATCGACTGGAGGCAGGGTGCAGTTCTGATTGAGAACACTCCTTGGCAAAACACTGGAGTTGCTAGTGCAAAGCAAGCTGGGGACTCCTTGTCTGTTCACAATCTCACCCAGTCCCGAAAAACAAAACCCCTGAGATTTCAACACCCTCACAACCATGGTGGGCTAATGATATAACCAAAATGTGAACCACCGTCTCTGAAGTCTCCCTCACAAGCACGCACGCTGATGAGCACCCAGGTTCGTATTGCGCTGCAAAGAGACAGGATGGGACTTTCCACAAAGGGGTTAATTAGAAAAATCAAACTGTCAGAGCAGACGAGCTGCCAGAGTGTGCTTGTTAGACACGCGAGAGCAACAGTTGTCAGCAGCCACTTCACGCTGCCATTTGGTGCAGCCTTCATTTCACAGCTATATTTATCAGCGCAAGACAGAGAGGCAAGACGAGACACCCAGGCCCAGGCGTGGTTCAAGCTGTTGCATGTTCGCAAGCTGGCTTTCACCAGACCCTAACAGCAACAGAGACTGCCTCACACATTGCAAGACAACAAGGAAATTCAAATTAAAGAGCAGCAACATGACTCAGACCTGACATTTCTAACAAATGCTCATCAGAAAGAAGGCACTGACGATCCCACAATCACTTTTTTTGAAAGCAAGAAGAGGAAAATATATGACATTCTAAAGTCACACACAAAAAAGACATAACATGGAAGTTTTGAGAATCTGCAGACCCAACACCTAGACCAGCACAAATCCTGTGTGGGTCTCATAGAATGAGAGATAAAAGCAGAACCATATGAAACTCTACTCAACCTGCTTCTTTAATGGCCATTCTCTAAAATCATTTCTAGATTTTAGATTACAGATCTGCTCTCTTCAATGATGACTATACAGAACCTTTTAAAATTCTTTTTAGTCCTCTTTTCATCTGCTTTGTTGAAGCAGAACCATTTCCATGTTTCGTTTATGTACTCTCGTTTGATAAAAATTTCAGCAATCCTATCTGTACGTGCTTTGAAATGGTTCACAGATCAACGCAGAGCATGAGCCGCAGGGATTCGTGTGGCCTGTTGGCTTTCTTGTCTTCTTTGGCAAATGGCCTCCAGAAAACATTTGTCCAGTTCAGAAGCAATTTTTTTAAAACGAATGAACATCAGTGCAGCAAAAAAGTCATCTAAATCTTTAAAAAACAAACAAACTTGCATAATGCATTAAGTCCACGGTGTGCATCATTAAATCTGTAATGATCTTCTCATCATTGTATTTGAATAAGTAGTAATATGTTGCATTACCACCCTACAGCTTCCCATAAGCTCAGCATGGCTGGCCCGTTTTGTACTGGGATGGGAAACCTTTAAGGAAAACCAGGTAATTGAGGAGACGTTTTGGTTTACCAGTGGCCTACTACAGTAACCCCAGATACTGTTATAGGAGGTGATATCAATCAGAAGTCCTGCCTTCTTGGTTGTTAATGATCTCATGGCACTGTTCATTGGAATAGGGTGTTAAACCCCATGTCCTTGCTAACGTCTGATCTGACCTCCCTAGATTCCCCCTTTAATTATTTTGTGGGGCACATTCTCAATTCTCTACCTGATTTACTCTGAAGCACACCTGTACAGTACATTACCCACATGGGGCAGGATTCCAGAAGTGTCTTCCCTTCTATATGTAAAATGCTATGAGATTTGTCTGGAAAAAAAGTTCTATATACTGAAAATGCTAGGAATTAATATCAAATGGCAACCAGGGATGGAATTCTAAATGGCTGTGGCATGTAGTCATTTTCACAGCATGGAGTGTCTCATATTGTAGAGGCATGAATGATAATTTGATACTTTTTTACATAATTGCATGTTGTTGTTTTTTTTTCTAAGAGACATACTGAAGATTAGGAGCAGTGATCTGTTACAGGTGACAAAAGAATCCATGTGTTAGTTTGAGTAGGTTAGTGGACAGAACGGACTAGGAGAAGAGGGGCTAATTTCCTGAACAGAATTTTATGGATTTGTGATCAAGCTTTGGATTGTGTGCAAACAAAAGAGAAAAAACACTTAATGAACAGGTATTCCCTGATTTCTGAAAAGTAAAGTGGTTTGTAAATTGATAAATTATTGAGTTTTAGGCATTCCCTAAGAGGATGTGGCATCGTGCAAGAGAATCACAGAATCTTTATAGTGGAGTTTGGTTTTCATTTAAATTCATTTCATCCAAGAAACTCACCACCTCACCACAAACATTGATTGTTTTTGAAAGTTGGAGTGTGATCAGCATTATTTCAAGGATCTGTATGAAGTAAACAGGAAGAAAGAAAGCACTTCTTGATGTTTTCTTTCAATCTTGGACATCAGGCACTGCAGGCACTAAGGAAGAGCTTTCCATCCACAATGATTCAAATCAAATCAAAATCAAATCAAGGTTTATTTGTCAAATGCACAACAATACAGCATGCAGCAGTAGTTGCTGGCAATGAAATGTCTTTTCTATGAGCTCACCGGGGCGGGGGAGGGGGGGAGGGATTAAGGTGTAAAAATCACAAATTAAAGTTAATAAAGAAGGTTACATAATAATACATAATAGTACAATAGAAATTGAATAAAATAAACTCAGACAATACTCAATATGAATAGAGCTGCTACTGTATGTGTCCATGGTGTATGCAATATTTTACGTCCAAGTAGTGCAGTATGATGAATACAATGAAAACTGTATGTCCATATTCAGCCCAACAATTGTCACCTCTAACCCTTTAAAATACCTAATCTCCAACCCTATAACAACAGTAATCTCTCCAACATCTTTCCAGTCATCCCACAGATATTTTTACCAAAAAAGGTGTATTAGTTTTGTTTGAAACCTCTTATTATTCAATCACTTAATTTCTGCTCTTTCATTGTTTTTGCAACATGAAAAGAGATATACAATAAGTATCCATGATTGTGTAAGGACTAAAGTTTAAATGGAGGATAACCAAATTCTTCTGTCTTAGATTCAATTAATTAAGTTTGGGATTTCCCATATTTCTTAAAGAGCCCAGCTTTTCTGTAAACCAGCAGAACCCTGGAAAAAAGATTTTTCCTCTTGGGAGTGGTTAAAAAAAATTGACTTTTGGTTAAAGAACTACAGGACAGCCATGGGCTTTAACACAGTGACAGACTGGCTCACCGGTGGAATTGAAGACATTGGGAGACGGAGGGTTGAAGCCAACGGATTCAGCCAGGAGAGTATTGTAAGGACTGGTGCCAGAACGAGTCTGAAGGACAGGATTGGTGAGTAAGTGGTTTCCCATAGTAGCTGTGAGAGAGAAGAGAAAGAGAGAAAGATTAAGACAACATCACAAGATATATATGGTTTGAACCTACCAGTCACCCCCTGAAGATCAGAGATATGTGGCAGGAAACTCTAGCCGGCACAGTGGTGGAGTGATTAAGCAGTGAAAAACTCCTCCTCTTGAAGCACTTAGACCCTGGGTACAACTGCAGAACTGGGGTGCTATCTGTGTGGAGTTTTATATACTTGTTATATCTGTTATACCTGTGCTTACATGGATTTCCTCTGGGTGCTCTGGTTTCCTCCCACAGTCCAAAGAATTCCTGGTAGATTCATTGGCTTCTGGGAAAATTGACTCTGGTGTGTGTGTCTGTGTCTGTCTGCCCTGTGATGAACAGGCATCCAATCCAGGATGTACTCTGCCCTTTGCCTGTTGCTTGCTAGGATAGGCTCCCACTCCCCTGTGATCCTGAATTACAGTAGATGAATCAGTTAGAAAATGGATTGATGGATAAACTCTGGCTCATGTCACTGTTAAAGCATAGCAAGCTACTGTAGGCACTGTGCTGGGATTGGTATGTAATGAATCACTCATTGGGTCAGACCTCCTTTTGTTTTTTATGGCATTAAGCAAAGAAAGACCACAAGAGTGTCACATCTCACACTCCTCCTGACAAACGACATGGCATTCCCAAACCTTCTGTTTCTCGTTTCTCATCTCACGTGCACCAGATTCCACAGATTCTCACTCCTAAACCAATTTCCTAATCACATCTCTCTCCCTTCAGTATTTAATTCTCTCTCACTCGCCAACCCACGCTCACCACTGAGAAGCCTTCCGTAGAGTTCTCTAGTACACATACTGACCTTCTCGACTGATTTCCTGGTTCCTGATCTTTACTCCTGCCTTTTCGACCACGCATTTTGGATATCGTTTTACGGATTGTCTTTCTCAGATTTCTCTGGTTACCAGACTCATTGCTTCTCCTATCGCCCAAGATATTGTCCCTGTGTTACTCTGCATTCCACAGGGTTCACGGCAATGCATAAGGATCCTCCTATTCATCAATTTAACCAATTTCCCTACAGGATTAATAAAATATTATCTAACTATCTATTCAACCTTTTGGTTCCTGACAATGAGTCCCCCACTAAATGGGTTACCTCTGTACTGCAAGGCCTAACTCTAGCAATATGGTGTCCCATTTATACAGAAGGGTGGACTGGAGAAGTGAGGTACAGGACCATGCTCAAAGTACTGTACAATAGCATGTCTTCATGGATGCAGGAGCGCCACTACAGGTTCACCTCTTTTTCCAATAGAACACAAATGTGACAGAGTGCCCCTAACATAACAGAGTGCCTCACTGAGGGCACTATGCAGAACCTGCCACTAAAATACAAAAAACTGAGTAAATGTAAAAAAAGTACCTAAAAATTAGCTACAGACGTACTGACAGTCACTTTATCGAAGAACAAGAAGATAACAGCATATTTTACAACAGTATTCAGAATGAATCCAGGTCTCAAACATGTATTACAATTGTTTTTGGCTTGGAACAAAGACAACTTTTAGGAGATACAGTACTTCTCCTTTTTTTAGTTTGAAGGAATGTTCTAGACTGACAGGTTGAAATAATTGAATACCTTTACTGACAGCAGTGAAACACGAACCAGAGTGAACACAGCTGAAAGCTAAATGGAAATATTACGTTTGAGAGCAGAAGGCACTGCTTTGCAAAAAGTTGGGTGAGAGCCACCAGCCTGTCAGCCAAGTCATTGAAACCGAGGTCAGTAAACTACAAGCATATAAACAAGCTCCATGGGCCAAATAGCCTCCTGTCAATTTCAGCATTTCTAACATTACCGTGTTCAAAATTCGAGAGATAAAGTCAACTCACTGCAAACGTGGTGCATTTCTGAGAAAAAAAAACCCGGAGGCACTTCTTTACACAGAGGGATTGTGGGTGTGAGGTGCAGACTGCCAAGTCATGCTGTGGACATTGAGTCACAAGAGGGCATTTAAAAAGAGCACTGATGGGACTTCTGGGATCATTAAGCTCCTGACAATCCGATCATCCAGACGGTCTGAATGATCTGTAATCCATAATCCTTTTTTTATGTTCTATTAAGTGATATGGGGCACATAGCCCGGGCTGAACTCTGGGGATATTGTGTACTTTTGGTTTTCCATGCACAAATTTATTTTTTGTTTTGGTTAAATAACTGGTCTCTTTTGTCTGTTTGTAAATGCGCCTTTTATTGTGTTCTCCACATGATCCATCTGCAGAACTGATCTCTCGACATGTTTTGTTTCAGCCGCGCCAGTGCAGCTTATTAACAGAAAACGAAACTGAAAATAACATGAGAGTGCAAGAGTGAGGAAGGACAGGGAGGGAGTGATCGCTGGAAAAACAGCACAAAACTGCAACACAAATGCAGCAATCTGAATGCAGAATAAGCTCTACAATCACGGGTTTGGGACTTTTGGGACATTTTACTAGATGACTGCCTGGGCTTGTCCAAGTGATTCCACACAATTGGGAAAGTGTCACTCAGCGTAGGGTGGGATTAGTTGGCCAGGACTCACTTGACCTTTAACCATACAGTGACCACCTCAGCCGTCGGGCGCCTTGTAGAAAGTGCTCTCACTGAGTGACACAACTCTCAATCAGCAGTGCATCTCCGGAAGGGGGCAGTGCTGTCAATGAGTGACATGCCTCTCCTCCAATAATCTCCACCTCTGGAATAGGGCGGTGTTGTCAGTAAGTGACATGCCTCTCCTACAATCACCTGAACTTCTGGAATAGGATGGTGCTCTCAATGAGGGTTCATGCCCATATTCCAATTAGCATTGCACCTCCAGAACGGGGTAGTGCTGCCAATTCAAAAAAACAATAGATAGGCAGGTTTTTGAAGGTGGGAAGGTCACATGAGTTTATCCGATGTATGCAGGTACAGGGTTAATTGCTGAAAACAAAATCAGGTTGGTATAATAAAATACTTGAAGATCCTAAATTAAAAAAAGGAAATGAGTTCATAGATATCCACTTAACAGTCATAGTAATTATGAATTTAAGTCATAGTAACATACAAAATGCACAGGTAAGACCTCAATTTGCTCATTGCATTACAAAAGGACATTTTTGCACCACTGCATAGACAAACAGCATCATTTATTTCTAAATTTGAAAGAAAAAATATATATATACTCACAAACACAGTTGAAGCTGTATCTACTTAGGGTCCAGCAGTGCAAAACTACAAGGGGGGTTGTATTTAATTAGAAAGTATAAGGATGTGCATATAGGAGTCTGGAATAAATGAAGCAAAATCCCTAAGATCCTTGTTGCCAGCAGCCATATCACCCTGCAACTCACAACTAGCAACCAACTGAAGCTAAGCAGGTGTGAGCCTGGTCAGTACCTGGCTGGGAGACCCCCTGGGAAAAACTAAGGTTGCTGCTGGAAGAGGTGTTAGTGGGGCCAGCAGGGGGCACTCACCCTGCAGCTCATGTGGGTCCTAATGCCCCAGTGTAGTGACGGGGCCACTATACTGTAAACAGGCGCTGTCCTTTGGATGAGACGTAAAACCGAGGTCCTGACTCTCGGTGGTCATTAAAAATCCAAGGGTGTTTCTCGAAAAGAGTAGGGGTATAGCCCGGCATCCTGGCCATATTTCCCCATCGGCCTTTATCAGTCATGGCTTCCTAACTATCCCCTTCTATAAATTGGAGTAAATTCATTACTCTGCTCTCCTGCCCACTGATAGCTGATGTGTGGTGAGTGTTCTGGCGCACTATGGCTGCTGTCGCATCATCCAGGTGGATGCTGCACATTGGTGGTGGAAGGGAGTCCCCATTACCTGTAAAAGCGCTTTGAGTGCTATATAAGTGTAAGCAATTATTATTATTCAGTAAAAAGCTAATGTTCTCCTAATTCAGAGTAGAATCAGTAGACAGTGAAGGGGTGTGAGTCTGAAACTCTGCACCCTACTAAGACTGGTTTATGCACTTTGAGAGGCTTGCAAAAAAGTCAGACTGGACTCCCGGAGGGCTTCCACTCCAACATCCTTCATCCTTTACTCCAACAGGTTTTCCGAATAATATATAATTGATTTAGTCTGAGAAAAAAATCCAATGCAAGGCTTGTCCGTTTCAGCCTCTCTGGTAATTAACTAGGAGCTCCAGTCACAGGAAACCCCAGGAAAATACACAGTTGATTTGTACTGTCAGCACCTTCAAGGTGCAGATCAAGCAGCCCATCAATGTTCCCTGATGCTTCTTTCGATTAAGATCTCCTCCAAGTTATTGATCCTATTGGAGTCTTCATATTGTAATTGTGGTGCCAGGGTGGAGGTACTGAGATCAGACCTCAGCTAGGAATAGCTGGAAAATCCATGGGGCATTAATGGATCAAGTATTGGCAACAGGTCAAAGGATCAGAGTGTGACAAGGCTTAGTTTCTTTTCTTTTTAGTTATACTGATTTTAACAATTTAGCAATCAATATTCTTATCATTACTAATAATTGTAATTGTACTAACTACAGTTTCTGTATATTTCTGTCATCATTTGTGATAATCATCTTTTAGCAACCAGTGAATTGTGCAATTATAATATTACTGCTATCTTTATTAACCCAGCATAATGTTAATCTAGTCCGCAGTCTGCGATTAACTGCAGCTGATTAAGATGTAAAAAGGCTAGGACCTGGGCGCATTCTCACAGTCACTGCTCTCGGGGTTCTTCATCTGGGAGCTTTCTTTCATCTTCAGCTTCCTGCTTCAGAGCAGGAGAGAACAAGGGTCCAAATTATTTGATCAGAGGACCATTATCAGCCTGTGATGTTGACAGTGACATCAATTCTTTTCTGATCAGGGGAGCATGAGTTTATATGCATGTAGCTGACTTTGCCCTGTACCACAACTGCTACCACAGGGTGGCTTAGGACAACTAACTCAAAGCTGACTAAATGTATATGTACATGCTTTATAGTCATGCCTTGAGGCTCAAAAGAATCATAA